GATATGAAAGTGAAACAGCTAAATAATTATATATCTATTTATCTGTCTATATATTATTGTCTTTAGTTGAGTATATATAAGACGAAAAATAAACCCGGGCAGCTTCTTGGCCTAGCGTTAACTTGAGCCTTTTACAAGAATGAGTTCCAATTCTGATGATGTCCATAATATAATGGACGAAAATTTAGTCCAATTTCACCCGACTGCGTCAACATGAACGTCGTATTTAAACCAAACGGCTGCAGACAACATAAATCGGGAGTCGTCTTCCGGTGAGAACATCAAACAGGTATCTTCACACAATTTCTCACAGTTTCAACACGATTGGTATGTAGCAAAATTGGGTTTCGAAAAATCCCTTAATATATTGATTTTGGAGTGCCTTTCATTTTATTTGCAGAGGCTAATGGATGCTGTTTGTATACTACCTTAGAGCTTTGACTAGATTTCTTCGAATTGGACCTCGGCGCACTCCCCAGCGACCCCGATGTATCCTTGCTGAACTTTCCTCCATCGTGTGACAGACATTGTCAGAGCAGGACCCCAAGCTTAACGACAATTCACAGACACGAAGACAAGAAGGCTGACCGACTTTGAGCCTACCTACTTCTTATAGTTCAATTTAGTCCATTTTATCAAGCATCTTTTGATTTAGTTGCATGTCTCATGCTTTGCCTAAATATTTGTTGAACAGTTAAGTTGCTGTTGATGAAGTGATCTGGCTGCAGATTAAGTCTGAAACGGATGCAATTGCGACTGAACAGCTTCATTCTTCTTTAACACTTATATTTCTTATCCTGCAATGTTACCGCATTTGATTATCTTTCATTGGACTCCTGCTGCATGAATTTATTGCTCTTGAAATTTGTAAGATGTGAGAGTCAAAACCAGATTCTAGTTAAATCAAGCCTTTTCCTCTTCCTCGGTTGTACTTGTTACCCTCTCTAATTCAAGAGGCATCTCTAGTTCCTAAATTATTAATTTCTATATGGATGGCTACTTTGCCATTTGGCAGCATTATAAATAAAACTACGATAATTTCCTTGGCTTGATGAACAGGATACATAGGAAAGCGAAATTCATCGTCGAGTTAAGAAAAGGTGGTTTGCCTAGGTGCCATAGTTAGCAAATAAGGAACCAGATTAGATATAGATATGTATAGGAAATCCAGACGCAGGTTTCCTGTTGAATTTATTTCTCAATCACACCTATGTAGTTAAATTAAGAATTATGAAGATGTGAAGACCAAGATGTTGTGGCCTCGGGTATGGTCGCACTTCTATAAGAATTATGAAGTCTGTGATAATAAAGAGCCCGCATTTGGTAGATGTTATTGATCAGGACCAGGAATTGAGAAGACTAAGGAAAATTCTTGTTAAGAACAATTATCCACGAGGGCTTATTGATAGTTATTTTATAATATTGTCAAATATAATGAGTTAAATATATATATGGAGCCAGTTAAAAGGCTGGAACACTATTGGAGTCCTTGTGCGATCATTGTTTGACCTATATCGAATATAGGCGAAATACTGAAGTGAGGCATCAGAACTATCTATAACGAGAAAATAACACTTTCCTCGGTAATGCCTTTTTTTGAGAATATTCTTACTTACTCTAGATTGTACTTTTATAAGATTTCGTATTTATGCGGCGGCACCTGTGGTAGCCCAGTAGGTTCATACGTAAGAGGTTATCAGAACACAAAGCAGCCATCAAGGGTTTGTAGGTCCAAAATCGGAATTTGTCTAACACATGGCTCACACTGGACATTAGATAGACTGGGTTACTGTAAACCGCTTAACTGGATGTGGGTACTATATCAGTAAGCGAAAGATTAGGCAATCTATAGAAACCGGCAAAACAACCAACACTGAATAGAACGAATTAGTGTAGGAACCTAAGTGGAGACTACTTGTGGCTATAGGATAGGATTAGAGAGGTGGCAACGAGAAGTACCAACGAGGCTTGATTAGATTAGAATCTGGTCTTGACTCACATTTTACGGATTTTAAGAGCAATGCATTAACACCGAATGAGTTTAAGGGAAAGCATTCACGTGCAGTAACATTGCAGGAAAAAATATATGTGTTTTACGTAAGAATGAGGCTGTTCGGTCACAATTGCATCAGTTTCATGCTTCATCTGCATCCACATCGCATGTCACCCGCAGCAACTTAATTTTTCAGCAAATATTTAGGCAAAGCATGAGATATGCAATCAAATCACGAGATGCCTGCTTAAATGGACCAAGTTGAACTATAAGAAGTAGGCAGGTTTGAAGCCGGTTAGCTTTCTTGTCTTCGTGTCTGTGAATTGTTGTTATGCCTGGTGTCCTGCTCTAACTATATCTGCCACACTACGAAGGAAAGCTCAGCAAGGATACATCGGGGTCGCAGGGCGGTGCGCTGATGATCTATTCGCACAAATCTAACCAAAGCTTCAAGGCAATCCCCCTACACATTACGGTGAGGGCAAATAACGAATCTTTTCCATTCGCCTATTCAAACGGAATGTAAGGTGCCTAAGCATCTCTCCATCATTGTTTTCTCAACAGATTAATCAAAATCCAGTTTTTCCAGTTGCTGCGTGGTAAAAGCTTGGGCTGGGTTACTGAACATTCACAATTGCT